AGTGTCAGTGAATAGCTGTGTGCATCCTTTAAAAAATAAAACAAAATTGTTTTGGCCCTGGCTGGGTAGCTCAGTTGGTTACAGCATCATCCCAGTATGCCAACGTTGCAGGTTCGATTCCAGTCAGGGCACATACAAGAATCAACTATTGAATGCATAAATAATGGAACAACAAATCGATGTTTCTCTCTCTCTTTCCCTCTCACTCTCCTTTTTCTCTCTAAAAATCAGTAAGTAAAAAAAAAAAAATTTTTAATTGTTTTGGTCACTGTATATTTGGGAAAGATTTCCAGAAGTGGGATTGATGAGAATATGGTAAATGCATTTGTATTTTGGAAGATATTGCTAAATTTTCTTTTATAAGAGTTGTGCTGTTTTGCACACCTGTCATTAATGTATCAGATTGCCTGTTTTGGAGTTTTGCCAATCATATAATTGAGAAATGTTCATTCACTTTTAATTGCAGTTCTCTTATCAGCAAGGTTTAGCATCTTTCACATGTTTAAGAGGCATTTGCCTTTTTTTTTCTGTGAACTCTTCATTTTTTTAAACTCACTTTTATGTAGGATTGTTGACTTTTTAATCTTTTTTTAGAATTTATATATTTGGAATATTAGCCCCCTTGTCTGTGATAAGTTGCAGTTAGTTTCACTGTTTTGACTTCTGTGGTTTTACTCTGTTTATTGTGGTATTTGCCATACATAAGTTTCAATTAATGCTATCTTTTCCTTTTCCCTACTGATTCTACAATAGGCAGAAATAATGTTGTGTAAAATATGTTAAAAATTTTAATTAAATATATTTGTAAAAATATACACTTAGTCCTTTGTTATAATATGTGTTCCTCTTCTAGGCAAGGATAAAAGCCATCAATACGTTTTTTGCTAAGAATGGTTATCGATTAATGGATTCTAGTATGTATAGTCAACCCATTCAAACTCAAGCACAGTATGCCTCTCCAGTCTTTATGCAGCCTGTATATAGTCCTCACCAACAGTACTCTGTCTATAGTATTGTGCCTCAGTCTTGGTCTCCAAATCCTGCACCTTACTTTGAAACACCACTGGTAAGTGATATCTTTACAGAATAGTAAAATTTTTCACTCAAGCTGAAATTTGAAGAATCAACTAGAGTAGTTCATTTTTTGTTTGTTTGTTTTGTGTTGTATTGGTTATGTTCTGGCTTTTAAGTAATGATAAGGATATATAATATCCCATAGCAAATGTATGTATATGACTAAGTGTTGAGCTAATGGTTTCTATAATTTTATCGTTTAGATTCTGTGAGTGAACTAGAGACTGGATAAATCCAATGATTTGAATTGCTCTTAGTTTTGTGAAACTTTTTCAAAGAGAAGTGTTCTTTATTAAGTAATAAAGTAGTGATTTTTTGTTCTGTAATGTATTGCAAAAGTGTACAAGTAAAATATTTAAAATTATTTTGAGCTTCTAGAAGAAATTGTTGCTAGGTTAGGTCATCAGAAATTTCTTATGACCTTCACACCGGATGTTGCTTTTACCATTAATTGTTTTTAAACATTAAATTTTTCTTTTAGGCTCCCTTTCCCAATAGTAGTTTTGTGAATGGCTTTAACTCACCAGGATCTTATAAAACAAATGCTGCTGCTGTGAATATGGGTCGACCATTCCAAAAAAATCGGTAAGATAAAAATCATGGCTGGAATTTATTGTAAGCAATTCTCAATAGTTCTTACAGAGTTACTGTGTTCATAGCAATGATTATTTGCAGATTCAATAAAAAGGAATTTTTGTTTTGTACAAAAAGCATATGAATGATTTAATCTAGAATTCATAAATACACTTTGACCTCAGAGTTGATAATGAGTATAAAAAACTTGGGGCTGAGATTGTATGCAATCATAATTGATTTATTTTTTTTTAATAATAACGTAGAAAATATATTTTATGGTAGCAAAATAAAATCTAGTGTCGAAATGCCATTTAGTGTGTTAAATAGGTAACATTTTGGAGAATGAGTTTTTTGTTTGTTGTTTTTTTTTTGAGGATAGAAATGTTGCTAATTGAGTAACAATACTGGGAATATGGATTATTTAGGACTTTTAAAAATTGGCTTTTTGAAAGTTTCCACTAATTACAGTGTATAACAGATGACAACATTTATTGGGTATTTAATGTCTGAAGCTCTGTTTTAAGGGCTTTACGTGTTTTATCACAGTTAATTTTCACAACCCTTTAAGATTGATACAATTATTATATTTATTTAAAAATGAGGAAATTTGAGACAGACAGGGTTAAATATCTTATTGAAAAGCACATAGCTAATAACTGGCAGAGCTAATATTTGAGTCTAGACAGTTTGACTGTAAAGCCTACACTTATGTTCTAAATGTGTTATTGAGAACTCTGGAAACATTTGCTATCATATAAACTATTGATATGTCTCTTAAGTATTCTTTATATAAACATCAATTGATAATCTTAATAATTTGGTATGTATTACAGCTTTTGACAGAGTACTAGTAACCAAAGTAAAAAGGCTCATATAGTGGTTCAGATTTATTTAATAGTTTTTACATTTGTTATTTTTAGTTTGCTTATTTTGTAGTCCTCCTGTGTTTTGTTTTTGTTTTCATGAAATTATTTCGTTTCAGTGATTTTTCTCTTGACAGATCTTGTTCTCCCAGTTGATTCTTTTTTTGGCAAAGTGACCACATAGGGTATGTTTTTCCTAGACGATGTCTAGGAACTTAATTCTTTTTTGTAAGGTTTTTCTGAAACATGCTACACTGGAGAAAGAAGCCTTACAGTATTAAAAATTATTTTTAGTGGATTCTGGAAGCATACATATGTACTACCCTCTGACAGTCACAGTTTTTGTACTCTAGCTGACACAGTTGGTTAAAGCATTTGAAGATCATTTTTAGGTGTTAGGAAAGTTTTACTACGTACACACATTCTTCTTATTTATGAAGTTTCAAATGTGATCTCATTATAAGAATGAATGATTCTTTATAAACACAATATTATTTGTGCTTTTATGGATGACTTAGTTTGGTAATACACTAACAATTTGAGTATTGCTAGGACATGTGAGTAGAAAAGTACAGTGAGCCTTAATTATATACCTTGTACTCTAACTCCATCCTGTTGTTCAAAAAGGATTATTTCATTAGAGACAAGGATGTTTATATGGCTAGTTATCAACATTCCTGAGATTTAGAACATTTCCTTTTCCTGTAACATAGCTGGTGAAGTTTTTTCTTAAAAATATCAAAGGGGTAAGTTTTTAAGTAGAACAGATGTCTTTGTTACGAGATCAACTAAAAGCAATTAAAAAAAATTTTTTTTCTAATTTTTATTATTTTTCAACCACAGTATACATTCAGTACCATTCCGCACCAGTTTCAGACGTATAGCAAAGTGGCCAGAAAACAATGCACTCTACAGTGGTTCCCCCGCTGCCCCAAGCACCCACTTAGCCCCATACTCTGTAATCTCGACATTATTGACTATGGTCTTCATGCTGCAATCCACATATCTGTAAAAGCAATTTTTTAAATATATATTTTTATTTTTTCATCACCATTTATTCCCCCATACCCTCTTCCACCTCCACCCACATCCCTCCCCCCTCCCCCCTTTTAAAAAAAATATAACTTTTTAAAAAATTGGTTTGAGACAGAAACATCAATTGGTTGCCTCCCATACACGCCCCGACTGGGGATTGAACCCACAACCTCGGAATGTGCCTTGACCAGGGAATCAAACCCACCACCTTTTGGTATATCAGAAGATGCTCCAGCCAACTAAGCCACACTGGCCAGGGCTAAAGCAATTTTTAACTAATAACTAAGGGTACTGATGTTTGCAGATGTTTGACTTAAAAATACAATGAGTATTTTCATGGTGTTGCTTTATTGTCATTTGTCTGCTGTGCTTTCTGGGTGAATTGGGTAAGATTACAATAAGAAAAGCAAAAGTGACAGTTAAATCATCTTGGCTTTTATGGAGGTGTACCTATGGTTTTGAAGATATAGAGCAGATTTATTATAAGTTTGCTTGTTACTCAAAACTGTGTACAGTTCTTTTGCATATGTTTGACCAATGCAGGTTGCTGTTCATTTTTAGTTACAGAAATAGTACATGAATACATTCTTATATAAATGCAAATATTACAGATAAAAAAAGTTTTTTGACTCCCCCCCAACCCAAATCCTTGTTTCCTTATTTCTAAGAAGTGACCGCTGCCAGACCTTTCTTTTTATTTATATCAGTCAGGGAGAAAGTAACTGTAGAGAGTCCTTATGCAGTATATTACATTAACCTTATGACAGCCCAGTGATGATCACTAGATCTCCTTAGAGAGAACAGGACTAACTTTCAGAAGTCTGGGCATTTTTCTACCTTTCATACTTTGCCTTTCTCTCCCTCTACTTCTTCCTTTCTATCTTTTATTGCTTATTTCTTTCTTTTGCCCAGACTGAGATTGTGAGTCCCTCTCAGTGAAGGGTAAGATTATGAGATCTGAGGGCTGTTTAAACCTAACTTGTCCATTAGGTGTATTGAAATGCAATGAGAAAATTTAGGTGAAAGTTTCTGAACAGATCATGTAAACAGCATAGCTACTTAATGGGGTAATTTTCAAATATGATGGATAATATAAATGTTTTGAAAATTACTTTGTGTTATTCGACATACTGTAAGTTTTATTGCTATTAAAAATCTAGTTTGTGACCGAAAGTAATTATCTGGAAAAGTATCTCATATTAAACTCATCTCAATTCTATAGCCTGTTTTTAAGTAACCTAATTTTTTATGTTCCTGAAAGAGTAAAGTAGGATAGCTGGAGATGCTGTTGGAATTAATGTTTAATCATTGGGCTTATAATTAATATGAGGTGTTTCTTAAAAAAAAAAATGTTTTTATTGATTTCAGAGAGAGGAAGGGAGAGGGAGAGAAACAGAAACATCAATGATGAGAGAGTCACAGATCGGCTGCCTTCTGCATGCCCCCCCCACTGGGGATCAAGCCTACAATCTGGGCATGCGCCCTGACTGAAAATCAAATCTCGACCTCCTGGTTCATAGGTTGATGCTCAACCACTGTGCAACACCGGCCGGGCTAGTATGAGGTTTTAAATCCCTATTCAGAGAACCTATTAATGACAGTGTGTTATTAATATTATGAATTTAATATTTAATATTATGAAAATAGACTGTAAAAATGGAGTATATAAACTGCAAGCAAGGGGCCAAATATAAGTTTTATACTTTCTTGTTTAATCAACTATAGAGCCAAGATCCCCAGTTGCTTGGACTTTAAATGTTTTAACTATTGATTAAACTGCATCCCCTCTCCTTTACCATAGCTTCATCTGCTTATAAATTGTTAAAATTGGGTGCTTATACACATCATCCAAGATAAAAGCTACTTTTGTTAGAAGTAGCTTTTTTGTTTGTTGCTTGTTTTGTTTTTACCACAGATTTCATACCTTAATTCATGAAATCATGTCAGGCTATTAGTTGCATTATATTTTCCTAGTTTTTTTGTCCCACATATGGATCTTTGAACAAATTTAGTTTGTCAAGGGATGCTTAGTAAGAAGCTGGGATTTTAATATATTCCACCATTTCTTACTCTTTTTTTTTTTTTTTTATTGTCACTCCCTTAAAGAGCCTTTTTAGACTTTTTCTTCTGATTTCCCCCTATGAAATTTTTTAAAATTTTTATTGACTTTTAGGGGGGGAGAGAGCGACAGAGAAACAACAAGGTGAGAGCAGTACATTAATTGGCTGTCTCCTGCACACCCCTTCCGGGTTATTGATGCCATAATCTGGGCATGTGCCCTGACCGGGGATTGAACCAGCAACTTTT